TGTTTATTCCGGGTAATAAGTCTACGAAATTATTGCACACTGCGAAATCGTCTCAATACACAGTTCTCTAATTTTCAATTTGATCCTTGATCTTCGGTATATCCTTTAATTTTTGTAAAACTTGCGAGGGAATCGCAATTAACGACAGGTACAATTTTTTAACTCTACGCACATGATTGCACGAACTGTCGATGAATTAAATCCGGTTTTTCGTTTCATGGTTCGTTCGCGCTGCTCGCAGCAACAGTTGTACGTATATCTTTAGTTTCGCGATATTACATTCGATGTAACACGTACATCGTCTTTAATTCACCCCCGATATTTCCCGTCGAGGCTCGACGAATAATGCCAGCTCTGTGTTTGTTTTTCCTTTTACTTTTTAACCGTTCGCAGTAACGTTACCGGTGTTCATTGAATTCCAAGTGCAGGTACGTCAATTGAACATTTAGAGGGGTATAAAGCACACGCTGAAAGAGGGGAAACGCGAGGCGAGCTGAATTCGTAAACTGTGTAGGCGTGTGTGTAGTCGGCGTGGCGCGGCCGAACGATCTCGTAAAAATCTAACGCGCGGGACAAAAGCTTGGGAAAATAAAATTGATTCGAGCCCTGTTGTCCCTGGCTGTAACTGAATGATCATTCCGCGGGGGCGCGAAAATGTTTTCCCGCGGCAATTAACGAAACGCCCGCAATGGTGATTAAGAGCCGTTTAATGTTTCCCTCTGGCTTTGATCCACGTACGAGCGGCGACCGCAAGTTAAACGAAAGGAACAAAAGCAGGACAGCGAGTCGAAGTCCGCGACGAACCGGCAAACTTTGTTACAAGTTTCATTTTCGTAGAATTCGTCCCGCGGACGTATGGAACGTAGTTACCGAACGAAATCGTATATATCCACGTATATCTTTCTCTCTTTTTGCTCTTTCGCGAGTATTAGTCAGACAGTGTTCTTCCCTTTCGAGTGTTATATTTTTTATTTGTTTGTTTGTATGTAAAAAGATATTGACTTTTTTTGAAGAATTTTAAATTTTTACTTTCAAAGATCAGTTAGTGATTGCAATATGGAAGTTGCTGATTTCATCCTTTTTAATAATTTAGCCTGAGTGAGGTTTGGATAGAGTATTTTTAATATTTTTAAGTTATTAAAGTTATTTTTAAGTTTAACAGCGAATCCATACTTTTAAAAACTTAAAAATGGAGAAATGGAACATCGGTTTGAAATTATTTCAGATATTGTAAGAAGCACTATGCTTTCGGTATTTTCTAAAAATCCATATTCTATTATATTAATAATAAAAAGGATTCAACTAGACAAAGTACAGCGTTCAATAAAAAATTGTCGTTATTTTATAACATCGTGGAGAAAAAAATCAATACAGTAATAATCTCATTCTAAAGTATAAAGCTTCTTTAACTTTAACAAATGTAAGTTCGTTTTTTATCAAAAATATTTTTACGTCATGCAGCAGGTAAAAAAGTAAGGATACTTTTGTTTTCGAAAATTGTAAAATTTCAATCATTTTTAAAATCATCATTGAAGGAATTTTTTTCACAACTAAACCCATTGTAATTGTTAAAGAAAAAAATATATTGAGAATCTTAAAACAAAAGATGACACACATTTTTGATCGAATTTTGATCATTTTATGGATAATTACCACAGTCCTCCCTGACAATTAATTAATTCTACGATGTTTGTTTCGAACAATGAGATTTTCACTCTTGCACTTTGCTTGGAAACTTTAAAAGTACTGACTTTATTTTCAAGCATTGAAAAATTTTAATTATCCTGCAACAACGGTAACAAGATTCTAAAGAACTATATTCTCCTTGTTTTTGTCAAATGGAAACATTTAGAATTCGAAACGAGATGTAAAAAATTTCTTTCGTACGAAAAGAGGACTTTAAATTTTTATCGTAATTATGAAAATGAAATTTAAGACTTAAGTTCCACGATGTAATAAAAATTTACGACTTGTTTATTAACAATGAAACTTTAAAATTCGAAACTTTCGCTAATGAGTGAGCATATTAATATGCCTTGACACAGCAAGATCGATTACAAGATTCCACAGCGTTGTACAAAATTTATTATATCCGCTTATTATTTAAATACGCTAACCATAAAGTCCTTTTCCTTCGTCACGTGTTGTATTGAAAATTATTACAGTCGCGTAATAAATTATTATCCCTCGTTTAGATGCGATCGAGGATGTACGGTTAAAGATGTACGATTACAAAATCGTTGGAATTCTACGGGAACATACGTGGCTGATCGTTAAAAGCATTATGACGGGATCAACGGCGAGATTAATCATTCAAACTCGCTGCGAAGATGTTATCGGCAAATCATCAAGGATTTCACAAACTGCCGCGGCGACGTAGAAATAATTTGCGAAGGAAACTTACCACGTCTTTCTATGAAAAATTCGAAGGTCGATTTTGGCGTGTCAAGAAGGCTCGTTAAATATCGTACGAATGTTCGTATTTTTTTTCAAAAGTCGTAAATTTTAATAATTACGACTTAGGTGTCGCGAAACCTAAGTTGTAAATGTCGTATTTTAATTCTGACAAAAATTCGAGATCTTAATCGCAGAAAAATGAACATCTACATTGAGAAATAAATTCGACGAATTTACATAAAAACAAAGTGGAATGGCCCAATTGCACTTTTGTCGTATTAATTTAAAAAAAAAAAAAAAAAAGAAAAAGAAAAAGAAACAACGAGTGACTGACAGATTAAAAAAAGAAAGAGTTTTATCACATTTCCAAGAGAAGAAACGAGAAATTGAAAATCTGTTTTTAAATCGTGAAAAAAGACACGCGCGCCGAAGCACTTAAAAAGATTAATACGAACAACGTAACGTTCACGGAGGATTGGTGGAAAGAGGAGAATCTAAAGTGGTAAATACGTGAAAGGATCGCAAATAGGAAGACTGGCGAGCAAGCGGCGAAAATGAAAAACCAGTCAACGGTGTAAAAATGCATTACAGAATTGCCGTGCGATTATTCATAAGCGCTTTGCCACGTCGAAGGTCGTCGATGAGCAAAGCTAGCCGACACAATAGCGGAGATAGGAAAAAAAAATTAGTAAAATACACCTGTGTGGCGTACGTGCAATTAATTACGGAGAGAAAGAGATAGAAACTTACCATGACGCAATGAGAAAAAGAAAAAAAGAACAGAAAAAGAACACGACAAGAAATGTGAGGAATGCAGCATAATGTAAATAGTACGTGAGGATTTGGACGACAATCGACCGCTTTCGTTAGTTATTTTAAAAAAAACTTTTTCCAAGATTTTTCATTTCTTCTTTGCTTTTTTTCTCTTCGAGGATCTGTTCGAGATTGAAATACCTTCGTTTGAAGAATGACCAGCTGTCTTTTTATAATTTTCATTGCAACGAATTCAGCTGCAAATAATAATTGACCGAGTAACGTTTATTATGATTTTCGCAACGATTATTTTACATCTCAGGTGCAATTACCTCGTGATAATGTACATCCCCTCGTGGGAATGTACAAAAATGAAAAAATATACGCGAAGTTTATGGAAATGAAGTTTATAACCTTCGGAACGAAAAATCTCGTTGTTGAAGTTTGCTGAAGTTGCCGGTTGATCGTGCCATAAAAATGTTTGGAGTGCAAAGGATTAATGGTGCGGAAGCTAGCAAGTTCAGTAAATTAACTCGGTGAGTCGTGTACTTTCTGCAGAAACTACCACGGGAGAAGCAACAACGGAAGAACGCGGATGTACGCGCCTCTGTTCGAAAGAGGAGAGAGAGAGAAAAAAAAAAAGAAACATTTTTCACGTTGTGTCGTTGATAAATTTGCAAATCAGGCGCAAATATAAATTACGCAACGACTCGGCCAATCCAGCTGATCGAAGATCGAAGGTATTTCAACTAGCGTAGCGAATAATCCAGGCAAGCGCGTGCTCTCGAACAGCAAACAAACGCGAGGTTCGGTCGGATTGATCGTTGCACGAGTTCGGAGGCTTCGGGCCAAAAATAATCGGCCTGGGCCGCAGGAAGCGAACGCCGCGCCCGAGCGGACAATCGTCGTCATTACGCGGACATATCGCGACTGCGATAGCGAAAAACAGAGAGAAAGATAGAGATAGATAGA